AGAGAACATCGAACCGAGCTGTGCAAATAACCAGAATGGTGAGAAGACAGGTACAAACGGAAGCTCCCAAAACAGCAAAACTGGAAGAAAACCCACGTTCATTTGTATTCTCCCTAACAAGCCGAAGTGCTTCCTGAACTCGCTGAGGTGTTGATTTTAACAATGCTGACAATGCCACAACAAACATTTGCATACGACGATCAGATGGTAAGGACAGCACTTCATTAGCTAGAAGGTCAGTGATGCGATTTACCTGTAGAAAATGTATTATGGTGTTGAATTGAAGACTTGAGTGAAACTGAAACCTTATTGCTTATCACTGGCCCGTCACACCATTCACTGCAGCTATTATTCAGAGCTGCAATAAGAAGATTGATGAGATCCGGATCTTTAGCTGAATGGATGAGATCGCCCATATGTTCCAAAAATACCTGAAGAATTTTTGTTTCTAATTGATGTTGTAACTGAGCATTGAAAAAATTAATTAGGTTAGAAACAAACAATTTCCACTGAGAAGTACTAAGAAGTGGAAGTTACAGAGATGTTGATAAATTTGGAAAAATACTCAACTATAAACGCTCTTCCAGCCTAGCCTAAAGATCAGATTCTAAGCAAAGGTAGGAGAAAATTGTGTTTAAAATCAATCAATGCAATTTTTTTTTGACAACAATGGAATATTTCCAAATATGGTTGACCCCACTTTTCTGATTAGACCAAAAACTGGAACTAACTCTCCAAAATACAGGAGTAATACGAAGCACGGCCAGCAACTTTTCGACAAAGACCCAAATTAGGATGTTTTTGAGAACTTACATCTGGCTTGTAGTCCACAAGCATATTCATATCGATGCGATGCTTTTTCATCTCTTTCAGAGCTTCCACATATTTCAGCTTATCAATTAACTGCTTAATCTCTCGAACGACGAAACTGGAATAATGAGTAACAATTGGAAACAAAAACTTTATATGCCAATAACTTTCAGCTAACAGTATAAGTTTTTTTGAAAGAATCATAGCATAAATTCTCATAATTCTCTCTACCCGTATTGAAATCCAACTTGAAACAATACTCCCAGTTTAAATGAGATAATTTGTATGGAGTAACAATTCAATTCTTCGCCAAATTTCAAACATTCCCCTTCAAAGTTTGGGTTGTTACTTTCTATATATGATTATCTAACGCTCAAGTAATCGCCAATCAACTCTAAGACAACTTATCAGTCATATCCATTCTCCATATAATCAAGCAATTAATCACCCGATGAGAATGCATTTTACGAATTTAACCA